TGATCCCCGGTGGGGGGCGGGGGGACATGCCGAAGGCAGCCAATCAATGATTCTTTCTCATCATTGATGTTTCTATCTCTCTCCGTCTCCCTTCCTCTCTGAAATCAATAAAAATGTATATTTTTTAAATCATGTGTTCATAAAATATACAAGAACAATTTTTTAGGAGTTTCATATTATCTCTTTAAAATAACATGAATTTTATTCTATTCATTTATGCATAAGTGGGCATTTTAAGATTAAAATTTTCCCCAAACTTTTCATTAAAATCCATGACCCATAAGGATATGATTCCTGTATTAAGAAGCATTGCTTTGGTTGACAGGGAGTCACTGAAGTCACATTGAAAGTGAAAAAAGCCCTGGCTTGGTAGCTCAGCTGGTTGGAGCATTGTCCTGAGCACCAAAAATGATCGCAGGTTCAATTTCCTGCCAGAGCACATACCTAAGTTGTGGCGCATATGGGAGGCAATGGATTGATGTTTCTCTTTCACATCAAAGTCTCTCTATCTCCCTCTCAAATCAATAAACATATCCAAGTATATCCTCCAGTGAGGATTTTTTTAAAAAAGTGAAACAAAACTAAACCAGTAAAATGATGAGCAACTAATTTTTCTTGCAACACAGATATTTTTGCATCTTTATTTTTATTTCCCAGTGTTCATACAGAGGCATATACAGTACCTTTAACTCACTTAGTGAACCTTTGTTTTGTTTACAATGAGTATAATGAGAAGTAGTTGATAAACCAACTTTTATGGATAGTGCAGTTGAAACAAGAGAGATATATTTAGATATGAAAGTAATTTATACTAAGAAAAATGTGAAATAAGCCTGCTGAGGAGATGGGCAAAGTAAATGGAATGGCTTAGGTTAGGTAAGTTTAGATGTATTTTATTTATTTCGGAGGGAGGAAGACGGAAAGAGAGATAGAAACATCAATGACGAGAAAGAATCATCTGTCGGCTGCCTCCTGCATGTCCCACATTGGGGATCGAGCCAGAAAACCAGACATGTGCCCTGACCAGGAATCGAACCCTGATCTCCTAAGTCATAGGTGAATGCTAAACCACTGAGCAACACTGGCTGGGCTTTTTTTTTTTTAATTTGAGAGAGAGAGAAACATTGAAGTGAGAGAGAAACATGGTTCAGTTGCTTCTCATATGCTACCTGGCTAGGGATCAAACCTGCAACCTAGGTATGTGCCCTGACCAGGAATTGAACCAGCAACCTTTCTATGCATGGGACAACACTCAACAAACTGAGCCACACTGGGCAGGACTAGATATATTTTGAGACAGAGAATTCAGTTTGATGGGTGCCCCTGTCATTGAGAGCATAAACCTTTTACTAGATGTCATTGAGACCCAGTATGACCTTCAAGCTATCACCAGTGCACATTCCTCTTTTTGTTGTGTAGTGTTTACACTGTAACAGATAACTTAAGGTTGTTTGGGTACTTATTTATGTAGATATTCAGAATGTGAACCCAAACTGTGCCTAATGATTCCTCATGGAGCCACTGAAGCACATTCACAGGACGAGGCCCCTCATTTGTGTTTTCAAGGCACTTTGTTTTTCTTATGAAGACCACAACTGGAATCTTTAACCTCATGCAGAACTCAGCCTTTGAGAGTGAATTCCTTAGCTCTCTGCTTGCTGGGAAAATACAAGACACCCATTCCCAGATATCCTTAGGAGAACAGCTCTTCCTGCATAAACTATTTTCATCAATGAGAGAATATATACAGAACAGGGTTTCTGGATCAGTCTTGAGTTTGAATTCTCTACTTACTAGCTGTTGGACACTGGACAAGTCACTGCACTTTGTAGTCCTACCCTACCTGTCTCTAAGTGGGGATAATATCTTGGGTTACATGAAGTAAAAGGTAGAATTCGTCTTTTATGTGCGAGGTACTCAAATAGTTTGTTTTCCCCTTTTCCTAACTTTTATGCTAAAATTCCATCGATTCATTTAGTATTTAATAAATAAATGTTTAAGGAGAACCTACCATGAGCCAAGCAAGCTCTTTGCTAGGAGATAGGGATATAATTGCAAATAAGACAGGTAAGCATATGATTTCAGGTGCCCTAGAATTTTTGAGCAATTCATTTCTTTGCCTCTAACAGCAATCTCAAATTCCCACACCTCTCTACTGGTATTTTTGACCAAGGAGTTAACATTTATAATAGTTGTGACTGCCCTCACCTCAGTGGATAGAGTGTCAGCCCAAGGACTGAAGGGTCCCAGGTTGGATTCCAGTCAAGGGCATGTATTTCAGTTGCAGGCAGATCCTTCCGGCGCAATTCACATCTCTGGCCCCAGGGCAGCATGTAGGAGGCAACCAATCAATGAGTCTTTCTCACACATCAATTTCTCTCTCTCTCTCCACCCTCCCCCCTTCCACGCTCTTTAAAAAAATTAATGAAAAAATATCCTCACCTTAGGTGAGGATTAACAAAAAAAATAAACACATAAATACATAAATAAATAAATAAATAAAATACTTGTGACTGCTTTTTTGGCACCACTTTAATAGTGAACTGGTTTCAGGTAAACCGAGTCAGATAGGTTCTCATTGTGTAAAGGTTTAAAGTTTACCCACTTCAATCACTCACAAATCCACATTAAATACTTAGAACCAAAATCTCTGAGGGTTTTATTTCACTTACTGTGACCACAAAACATATTTAGAAAAATGCATGTGGCATCTTAAGCAGGCAATTCATGAAACAAGTTATTCTGTGGCCTTAGAATCCATATCAGTGTTTTTATCTATGTGTGTGTATTTTTAATGTTTCCTTGTTTTCATTTTTGTTTTGTCTTGGGGGTGGTTTAAAATAAATTCTGGGCCAGAATCTCATTTTAACATTCCCGCATTGATATTCAAATATGTTTCACATATCTCTAACTTCTCTGTTCTCAATATGGGGAATGCTTTCTCCTCTTTAAGGTAACTGTATACACACAAAACATAAATATTTGAGTGTTTTCATAGCACAGAAGGGATTTCTCTTTATTTTAAAGATTCATTTTGGTGTTACTTTTAAGAATAAAATTATGTTATAATATAGTTAAAGAATAAATTATTTATGTATATATATTTTTATTGATTTCAGAGAGGAAGGGGCAGGAAGAGAGAAAGAGAAACATAAGTGATGAGAGAAAATCATAGATCAGCTGCTTCCTTCACACCCCACGCTGGGAGTCGAGCCTGCAACCCAGGCATGTGCCCTGACTGGGAATCAAACAGTGACCTCCTAGTTTATAGGTCGACACTCAACCACTAAGCCATGCAGGCTGGGCAAGAATAAATTCTTATCTAAATTTAATATACCAACTTTCTGTCGCACAAAAACATTATAAACATGAATAGAAAAGCAAAATTTTCATCCTAAAGAGAAAACTATTTAGGATCTCTAATTTCAAGAAAGTAAATTTGTCCCAGAACTCTATATACTCTTTAAAAATTAACAGACTTGCCCTAACCGGTTTGGCTCAGTAGATAGAGCGTCAGCCTGCAGACTGAAGGGTTCCAGGTTCAATTCTGGTCAAGGGCATGTACCTTGGTTGCAGGCACATCCCCAGTTGTGAGAAGGTGGTTATGTTCTCTTCTCCAGATGAAATCACATTACCAAACATTCTTTCAGTTCCCTTTCTGTATATCTTTAGAGGATTGCTCTGTCCTCCAGGACCAACTTCATAGCTATGCTTTTTTTTTTCATTTCAGAAATTACCATGGTTGACACAGAGATGCCATTTTGGCCCACCAACTTTGGAATCAGCTCCGTGGATCTTTCCGTAATGGATGACCACCCCCATGCCTTTGACATCAAGCCCTTCACCACTGTTGATTTCTCCAGTATTTCCACTCCACACTATGAAGACATTCCATTCGCAAGAGCTGACCCAATGGTTGCTGATTATAAGTATGACCTGAAGCTCCAAGATTACCAAAGTATGATGTTTATTTTCACTTTTCAGAGTACTAAGACTAGCATTGGACTCAATAACACTGGAGTAAGTGCTCCAGAGACTAAAACTCTATAGAGAAGACATTTACCATTAGTCTACTCATCCACATATCCATGAAATATTAGGTATTTATGATATACCAGAAAGGAAGGCAGTGTGTTAATCCCCCAGATCATTCTTTCCTTTGTCCCTTCTTCCTTTCTCTCCTCATTTTTTTCTTTTTTGGTTCTTCTTAGAAGCATTATCCAGTATGATTATATTGCCAGGTATATATCAGGCTAAGAGTCCATCACCCAAACTTTGAATTCTTTTGAATAGTTATAAGTTAATAAGTAACAGTGTACTACCTTATTATCACCAAATTACTAAATTATAATCCAATTTTTTCTAATTCTGCCATTTGAGAAGCTTACACTGAAACCTGAACTGGTAAGAGAATTAATTAAGCCTGTGGTTCTCTGACCCTCCAACACCCATAATACTAAAGCTATTACAGACAACATACAGTATTTGAGACAATTAAGGTTATTTTATAAATAACACAAATTTAAATTTTGAAAAATTGGTCTATTGATAAATCTTCATACCATTAACTCAATTTACATTGAAACATCAGACTCAAGAAAAATTAAAACTGCACTTTTCAAGATAAAACAAATTTCTGTGATGCTATTTCCTTGATTTTTATCTCTTTTTGTACTGATATGCTGGTTTCCCAAAGCCACCACTATGTAATTGATAACCATTACTTGACAATAAGAACTTCCTGTATTTCTAGTGTGTTTTTTAAGGTAAATAATATACTTGGTTATATTAATATGTGTGGTTTTCAGTTAGAGCCTAATATGCAAATTTAATACCCCTATTCTTAACCAGTGGGAAAGTAGTGCTTAATTTCCATAGGTTGTTTCACTCTCTATCAAAGATCACTTTACAAACCACCTTTTCTGACTCAACACTGATGGTATTTTTATTTTTTATGTTCCTTCTGTGTGTCTTTTGCAAGAGTGGTTTAAAAATATTTCTAAAATGCAACATTGAAATTAAAATACACAATTTAACATTGTGAAAATTCCAAGTACAGCATATTACATAGTAAAATAACCTTGATTGTCTCAAATACTGTACTAGTATATGGGGTGCCGGAGGGTCATAGAATCACAGGCTTAGTTCCCTTCCCAGTTCTATTTACACATTTGAAGCTCAGAGATGCTGTGACTTGCCCATGCTTACCACGCCTACTTTTCCTATGGTCTCTTCATGTTCCGTAGTGGTTCTACACTTAAGTAATAAAAATATGTCATTAAGGTGTACCATAGTGACTTGCCCTGTTGCCTTTTTAGTATTGTTTTTCATGTAATAATGGCCTGCTCCCATTTCTCTCTACACAGATGCAATCAAAGTGGAGCCTGCATCCCCGCCTTATTATTCTGAAAAGGCTCAACTATACAATAAGCCTCATGAAGAGCCTTCCAACTCCCTCATGGCAATTGAATGCCGTGTGTGTGGAGACAAAGCTTCCGGGTTTCACTATGGAGTTCATGCTTGTGAGGGATGCAAGGTAAAAAGTAATTTTCTTCTTTCTTCAAAGAATTTGTTGAAAATTTACCTATTATTTCATTTCCTATTGCAAACACATGACAAGGAATTGAGATAAAATTGTCAAACTTTTTTTAAAACCCATGACTCAAATAATAAAATTTTTGAAAACCTAAGAAAATTAATAAAAGCAGGGATACTTTGCCTCACTTTTCTTCCTCCAGATTGGTTCTAGAAGGCACTGATCTAATTTAATCCTTATATCTTGCAGCTTTTGTTTTTTTAAGTGACTTGATCAAGGGATCAAGGCAAAATACTGATGAACTGGCCCAAAACCCAGATTTCTGAATTTTCCAGTATTGTTGTTTTTTTACTGTACCATGTAATATTTTATATGTGTAAGGCTTGACAGATCTGATAGATAGATAGATAGATAGATAGATAGATAGATAGATAGATAGATAATCTTCATTTGAGCCTTGGAACAGTCCTATAAGGTTGAGCTTATATATGGCCACTAATAGATGTAGAAATTATGAATAAGTAAAACTTTCCCATGGTCATCCATTAGTAAATGGCAGAGCTAGGACTCCTAAACCAGTGCTCTGTGTTTTCTTACTCCAGCATCAATTGAGTCATGTATTATTATGGGCAGGCAAAGAGAGAACTATTTTAGAAAGGAGATACTATTTCTCTTCAACTTTTTTCTTTGTGAAAAGGGGAATTTTGCAAAGTTCAAATATTTAATAATATTATGCCCAAGCATTTAAAAAAGTTAATCAACTCATATTTTCACATGTAGTCTTTTAAAATAATTAATTTTAATATACTAAGTGAATAAAATAGTAATAGAATAGTTTTTATTTTTAAAACATATTTTTATTGATTTCAGAGAGGAAGGAAGAGGGAGAGAGAGAAGCATTAGTGATGAGAATCATTGATCAGCTGCCTCCTACATGCCCCCTACTGGGAATCGAACCCCTAACCTGGGCATGTTCTCTGACCGGGAATCAAACCATGACCTCCTGGTTCATTGGTTGATGGTCAACCACTGAGCCACGCCAGCTGGCCTAGAATAGCTTTTATTATATACTCCAGGGTTCAGAATATGTTGTTCATATTTACCTTATAAAGTAAATGTTTAGCTTTTATAAAATTTTTATAAATATAAAATTTTAAATATTTTATATTTTGTATATTTTCTAAACATAATATTATAAATATTTAACTTATAAAATAAACACTGCTTATATTATATGAGTCAGATTTAATCCCAATTGGGCTTTTTTATTCCGCCCTGGCCAGTTTGCTCAGTGGTTAGAGTGTCGGCCCATAGACTGAAGGGGCTCAGGTTCGATTCTGGTCAAGGGCATGTACCTCAGTTGCAGGCTTGATCCAAGGCCCCAGTTGGGGCACATGCAGGAGATAACTAATCCATGTGTCTCTCTCACATTGATGTTTCTGTTTCTGCCCCTCCCTTTCACCCTTCCTAAAAATCAATGGAAAAAAATATCCTCAAGTGAGGATTAACAATACACACACACACACACACACACACACACACACACACACACATATATATATACTAGAGGCCCGTTCGAGGTCTGGTTCATGAAATTCATGCACTGGTGCGGGGGGTAGGGAGGCGGGTATGTGTCCCTCAGCCCAGCCTGCACCCTCTCCATTCTGGAATCCCTAGGGAGATGTCCAACTGCTGGTTTAGGACCCATCTCACAGGACTGCTGGCTCCCAAACACTTGCCTGCCTGCCTGCCAGCCTGATCACCCCCTAACCGCTCCCGTACCGGCCTGATTAACAACTAACTGCTCTCCTGCCAGACCGGTCACCCCCAACTGCCCTCCCCTGTGGGCCCAGTCACCTCTAACTGCCCTCCCCTGCCGGCCTCTTCTGGCTGTGGGCGCTGCCATCTTTGAGGGCATGGCATTCAATTAGCATATTCCCTCCTTATTGGCTGTGGGTGCCACCATCTTTGAGGGTGTGGTAGTCAATTAGCATATTCCATCCTTATTGGCTGTGGGTGCTGCCATCTTTGAGGGCGGGGCAGTCAATTAGCATATTCCCATATTGTTATGGGCACTGCCATCTTTGTGATGGCATGAAGGTCAATTAGCATATATCCTTTTTATTAGATAAGATATCTAAACTAATATATATACCCTTTAGAATAATAAGTACACAAAACTATTTTCTGAAATCGTGACTAATACATCTCCAGCTCACCAGTTCACAGACTTCACAATAATCATGAGAGTAAATTGTTGAAATTACACATTATTTTATGGACCCTGAAGTAATAAATAAGAGTGTTGTTGAAGAGTTTCTTTATCAGTAATGTGAAGAAACTTTGTAGAAGCCTGCTTCATCCAGTGGCATAAGAGACCATCCTTGCTCCCACAGAGCTCACAGTTTTAGTTGGGCAGTGGAGGAGGAGCAGGAAATAAACATAAATATAATAATCAAATTGTATAGTATGCTAGAAAGTCATTAGTCTATCGGGGGAGGGGGGAGGGAAGGAAAACTAGAGCAGAGTAAAGGAGATCAATGGTTCCTGAGGAAAACGGGGCAGGGACAAGCCACAGTATTAAATAAGGTGGATAAGCCTCATTGAAAAATTGAGGTGCTAGCAAAACTTGAAGGCAATGAGGGAAATAGGCAAATGTATATTTAGAGAAAGAGCTTTCTACGTGAGAGTAAGAAGTAGAAAGTGACTTCAAGGATTTGGGCTTGAAAAAGTAAGAGGAAGGAGTTGTATCAACTGAAATGGAAAAGCTGTGGTGAAGTAAGTCTGTAGGGGTAAGATCAGGACCTTAGTGTTGGATATGCTGGGTTTGAGCTGGCTATTAGATTTACAAGTGAAGATGCTAAGTAAACAGTAGAACATACTTGCCTATTTCTCCAAGATAGAAATGTGGAGAAAATAAAAATGCACATCAATGACAGAATCATACTAGTTCAGTGTTTTTTGTACCAAACAGGACCAGATAAATTTGGAAGAATTAAAAACTGAGTTTCATGAAAATGAACATAATAGAAATTAATAAGAATACTCTGAACAAAAAAAGTGGAGTTATAAAACATTTCTGATTAGAATTTTTTCAAGACTTTCCAAAAAATATAAATATTGCAGCATTCAGTTAGTCTCAAATTGACATATTTGCTTTTTTAAGGTAGCAGTCGATTTTCTGAGGATTTATATATTATTTCTCATGCTATTTTCCATTATCTCTTTTTGTTTGCAGGCTACAATGATTATGGAACACACACATTTTCAACTGCATAAATAAATGAAACCAATTCTGCAGGAAATTATGCAACATAGAGAATTCCAAAAAATTATCCACATGTGGATTTTTATTGGCCCTGATAATGTATTAGGATGAAATGATTGTAACTTTGCCAAACTGCTTAGCACAATTATAAGGGCTTGGCATGCTGTTGGAATGGTTTGCAGAGAGACTGAACTGATTACATGGTGTTTTATTTGCATTACATTAAATCCAGAGCACTTCCTAGAGCATGCTGAAACCCAAATGTAGAGCCAAAATACATTGAATGACATTGGTTGAATGTGGTCATCTTCTAAGAGCTAAAACAAAACACTGGAAATCCTCTGGTTCTTTATTTTATAGCAAAGAAAATTCAATTGCCTAAAGTCACCAGGGCCAGAACAGTGTGAAGTACCCAGGCCAGTGTGCCTTTAGCCATATGTTGCTGCTTCGTTGTGTCATAAAGACTTAGAATTTACTTCTTTTATTTTTTTTTTCATTATCTTTTTGCAGGGTTTTTTCCGAAGAACCATCAGATTGAAGCTTATTTATGATAGGTGTGATCTTAACTGTCGGATCCACAAAAAAAGTAGAAATAAATGTCAGTACTGTCGGTTTCAGAAATGCCTTGCAGTGGGGATGTCTCATAATGGTAAGTGAACACTTAGCACCACATACTTTATTATTCTCTTATGGCTGCCAGATCAGTAGATATGAAGGCCGTTGATGAAAATGTGCACGGTTTTTCCACAGAATGCCAGATTTCAGAATATTGCGTACAGAAAAAGCATTTCTCATTTAGGTGTGAGTTTTTAAGCTGTTAGTGCAGAATCCTCTCTGGTTGGGCATCTACCATGATGAGAGAAAAGACTTGAAAATCTGGGGAGGTGATGGAAATGACTATAGTATTTTAAGACAAATATAAGGATAACTGTGACTTTTTTATGTTGCTTTAATAGTATTAAAAACAATTATACTTATGTGTATCAGTAGTTTCTTTCTAATTTTAATGTAAGAAAATCTTGAATGTAGAACTTTAGGTGGCTTCTCAGAATTTAGATGTTGTTTTTTTTCCTCTTCACTATGCAAAAATGAGTGTAGGTATAGCAGTAACTTTGACTTTGAGCAGTATACAAACTTGAGGATAAAGAAATATTTTAAAGTTCCACAAAACTTCAGTGTCCATAGACACATAAGAGAATAAAACTTTCTACTTTTTAAACTCATATCAAAAACCAAGCTTATGATTTAGAGTGTCTACCTTGGGGAAGAATGTAGAAGACCTTATTTTCATGAACTGTAGAACTAACTCAGTAAAATCATGGAAGATAGGCCTGTTTGAAGAAATAGTTCTTGATTTCTATTTAGCTCTGACTGGTTAACTAGCTCACAAAACAAATTTTGACATAATAATGTTACTATATTTTTCAAGTATTAGTTTTTTAAGAATTCATTATGAACTCAAGAAACGTAAAATGTCAAAGTGATCAAATTAAATCCAAAGTCTCATTTCGTTGGATATCCTGTTTTTTCTTTCTTTTGCCTTTATCTGATATCAAAACTGATCTGGTAAGAGGATAATCTTTAAGTTAGTCTTCATCTGTAAGAACTCCAAAGCATCTGTGAAAATTAAATTTTTGCTCCATCATGCTGATGTTTGGTTTACACAGTGGAAATCATCAAGATATTTTGGAATCATTAATTGGTTGATACTTTACCCTTTAAAAATAGTTTATAAAATTATATTTTTATCATTAATATTGGTTATTTCCTCTAAAGGCAAGACTGTGTTTTACCTGGCCAGTGTCGCTCAGTGGCTGAGCGTCGACTCATGAACCAGGAGGTTGTGGTTTGATTCCTAGTCAGGGCACATGCTGGGATTGTGGGCTCAATCCCCAGAGGGGGCATGTAGGAGGCAGCCAAACAATGATTCTCTCTCATCACTGATTTTCTATCTCCCTCCCTTCCTCTCTAAAATCAATAAAAACACTTAAAAAAAAAAGAATGTATTCTGAATAGATATATTAGCTATAGTAGACAGGAAGAAAATTTGGTCTAATTTTTCTCAACAGTTAATCAAATCTGCTCTATAGCAATATACAAATTCAGTCATTGATTGCCAAATAATTTGCTGTTTTAATTCCATCTATTTCCTTTTTATTTCAGACCTTATAAAACATAAGGGCATGTTTTCAAGTCATGGGTTAGATTTTAGGTGATGCAATCAAGTTGCAATAAACTTAATTTATCTTTATGAAAAAATCTCTGATTTGAGATCATTATCTATAAAACTGCATAGGAAAGCATTGTCAATTCTGCTTTTAATTGTATTTCTTTTTTGTCCTTTAAAAAATTGTCATTTTACACATTGATATAAAATATATTTCCTATTGCTTGTACATATTCATGTAAAATATATCTCCCATTTCTTATTGTTTATAGGGCCAGTAATATTTAAAGCCCAACCTATGTGTTCTTGAGGGTATAATTTTTCTCCCAGAAAAGTCAAAGAAAGCTATCATGAACTGAATAAGGTTATCTTTGGACATCATGTGACTATTAAAGGAATTAAATATCACGGCATCAAAGGCTTATGCAGTTCAACACTTACAGGATTGCACACATGACTAAGAAAATCCCTTCCCAGAGGTTTTTATGGTAATGTGTTTGCTGCACAGAGAAGAAAACCATTTATTTGATATAACACAAGAAGGGAAACTCAACAACTAAGTTTTGATTAGTTTTGCCTGTTTTCCTGATGAGGAAAACATTTTCAAATACAAAGTTTTCTAGGAAATCTTAGTAACTATTTAAATTCATTGCTTTGGCTAATATGAGGCCAACAGTAATGAGGTTCCCATTCATATAAAATTCCTTTTTGTTATTGTTGTATGTGAATGAACAATATATGCAGAGCCAACGCATATTATTTTATTATTTACTTCATACATGAAAAGCAGCTCTGAATATGAAACATTGACTAGTCAAAATTCTTAATGACTAAATTATCTCATAAAAAATAAAGAGGGACCATTTAAAAATATGATTAATATCAAAGATTTTAACAGCAGAACTTGAAACAAACATTACACTTTAAAAATCTATAAAAATCTGTGAGTGCCCATTGACTGAAGAAGGAATATTAAACTATGAGATGTAATGTAATAACCCACCAACTTATCAAAAGAGGCTCCTTATGTTATACCAAAATCAGCACCTTGCTGTTTTCAGAATGTATAAGAAGAGATGAACATCCCCCAAAGCAAATTTACTCCATTCTGTGTTACTTTTATTTTTGCTCTTTGGTCTCTGTTTAGTCTGTTCTATGCATTTAGCTTCCACATTAGCTACCCACTCCCAGCTTTGAAGGAGGCTTCTGAAGTAACCTTCAAGGACCCTAAGAACCCTGGGGAGTGTTGTTCGAAAATCACTGAAATCAGTGATTGCTAAAGTTCCTTCAACTTCGAAAATTCTATGATACTACGTAAGTCAAGCAACCTGCCCACTGAATTTTTCACTTTTCAATTAAGCTATTCTGTATCTTATCAAAAATGTCACTGTCTTCGTAAATATTTAGGCAACTGATTATCTGTCAATTGCCTGATTTTAAAAGTTTTCATCTATATGCTTTGGTACCATAAAAATATAATTCATATGCCTGAATCCCCTTCTGTATGTTCCAATCAATTGCTCAGTAACTTAGGGCAATACAGTTGATGATTGCATAATGATGTAGCCCCAGAGTACAAATTTAAAGCAGTCTAGACTAAAGAACGTATGAATGGTATGGTTGGATAATAGTATATGGTTTCACCTGAAGATAAGAACCTGTATTTTGATTGTAGAAGGGCATGATTTCAGCATTCTTCTAACTGGAAATGTAGTTATTTCTCAAATACCCATTTCCAGCACTGGATGGAAAAAGCACCCAGTTGTTAGGCTGAGGTGCTCTGGGAACAAATTTTTTGTTTTTCTGTAATTATCAAAATGAGCACATGTTGCCATGATTTTGGTCATTTAATAATCCATCAGTTTTAGACTGTGGGCTGATTGCTCCAAAGTTTTCCTGAATTGTCTCAAGCATAATCAGTTCAATACCCTGTCCAGACACCTTTAGAGGAAGGCTCCAAATGCAAGTAAAGCAGAAATAAAGAGGCAACTTCTTGGGCTACCCAGAATTAACTTACTAAGGAGTTATTGCATCAGCTGCTATTCGTTTTATATTTTGAGTTAGTGAAGCTGGTATCTACAGAATCTTGATAAAAATACTCTCATAGATTAATATTCCTTCTTCAGTCAATGGACACTCACAAATTTTTATAGATTTTCAAAGTATAATGTTTGTTTCAAGTTCTGTCAAAATCTTTGACATTAATCATATTTTTAAATATTCCCTCTTATTTTTTATATATATTTTATTGATTTTTTACAGAGAGGAAGGGAGAGGAATAGAGAGTTAGAAACATCAATGAGAGAGAAACATCGATTAGCTGCCTCCCGCACACCCCCCACTGGGAATGCGCCCGCAACCAAGGCACATGTTCCCGACCGGAATCGAACCCGGGACTCTTCAGTCTGCAACACTCCATCCACTGAGCCAAACCAGTTAGGGCATATTTTTTATGAGATAATTTAGTCATTAAGAATTTTGACTAGTCCGTGTTTCATATTCAGACTTGCTTTTCATGTATGAAGTAAATAATAAAATAATAAGCGTTGGCTCTGCATTTAAAAAATAATCTGATGTAGAAAAGAATTGACTTACGGTACTTGAGTAATTCATCTAGGTTTTACCCTAGACCATTGAGATTTGACTAAAAATTATGCTTTGCATATATATAAAATTAGTGAAACCTTAGCTTTGCTGATTAGGATGTCCTATTATGTAAATAACGAGGTTTCCTTTTATTTTAAAAAAAAGCTGACAACTTAAAAATAATTTCTCAGTGGCTTCATAAAAATTCAGAAAAGTGGTTTTATAGATATTTGTGGCACTCAGCATTTTTAAGATAGTTCCCTCCTTCCTTGTAAATAGAAGCTTAGTGTATATTGCAAAAAAAGAAAAGAAAATCTCAATGGCAAATGAATTTAAACTTAAACATGCTACTCTTTCTTTTCTTTAGTCTTCTTTGTGGTATAAATTAACCAAATGTTAACTTTTAGGGAACTATAACAGAGTAAAAAGTGCTAATGCACTGAGCAGCTATGATACTCAAACCTGCATGGCCTTCATGATTGCCCACTCTCTGGCCTCCACCATCTTATCCCACTGCTGCTCTTTTTCACGTATATTTCAGGCAAACTGTGTTCTTTGTTGTTCCTGGAAAATGCTTGTGGGTCTTTGTGTATTATGTTCTTTGGTTCCCTGTCAAAATTCTATCTGGCATTCAAGGCCTAGTTCAAATGCCTTCTCTTCCATAAGACTTTTAATTTCCCATTCTTCCCCTTCTCTTGTTTTATAACTTTCTCTGATACCACATTGTGCCTCATAAAGCAAAGGAGTGATCATATCTATGTTACCAAAAACCAAACTACTATAGACAGCAGTAAAAAGGATATATGAAAGGGGTTGCAAATCAAGGAAGTTTACCAGAACACCCATGCAAAATTATGAACTAAGACATTGGGATGGGTAAGAAGGAATGGAATTGA